AGTGCTCCACCTTCGAATGGACCCTATCCGTTCAAGGCCACCGGCGAGTTGAGCTTCGATGCAAAGGCCAAGGAGCAAAGAAAAGCGGCCGTTCGCTTCTTGAAGAGTGTGACGCAACGCACGGCCTGCAACCAAAAAGGGCATTGGGTTGTCAGATCCTGAATGTCCTAGTGCCAAGAAGAAGGGTGGCAAAGGCAAGTCATCCTCCAAGTCACCTGGCAAGAAGAAGGGATCAGGCAAGAAAGGGCCCCAGAACCTCTACGCGCGCAACGATGCTTCACCTACGGCCCGATCCTCCGAGACCTACTTTATCTTGCGCGATGCAGTCGAATCGGCCAATGAAGCTGAGGTTCAGTTGACCTTCATGCCTGCCACCAAGGCCGGTGACTCGGACTCCATCACGAACATCAATGATGACTTGACTGTGAATGACATGGTCACTGCCACCTCCTACCTCGATGAGAATGGCGCGAAAGATGAAAGCTCCAAGGTCAGCCCGACCGGCCTGACTGAGTCCGCCTGCCACTGAGACCAGTGAGGAAACCAGTTTCACCGCTACACGATTCTCCGACGTTCTCGTCGTCTTCAAAGAGACCAAGCTCTGCGAGCATGCCACTTCCAACGGTGGTGATGAGCATCAGTATCACCGAGGAGCCAATGGCCACACCAGGCACATCACTTGCAAGGTGTGCCATGCCATCGCACGACGAAAAGAAACCTGTTCAGCTATGGAGCTATTTAGTTCAGGTTGCCATGTGCACCAAATGGGGCAAGGCATTGCGAGTTGGGTCCCTATTCCGTTGTGCAGGACAACTTGCCTTCAAGCTCACCGAGGCCAAGACACGTCAGGCCCTTCGGCAAGAGAGAAGTCCTACGTCAGATGATGACCGATGGCAGGTGGTCCACAGCTCAGGCTCGGTTGGTGGGTATTCATCACGTGCTGCAGCCTCATCTCAACCAATACAAGATGCACTACCGCCGTCGCATGGATCCGCGCGCTCTTCCACCCTGCCAACTCTGGATGTCCCGGCCCTCTTGATGAACTACAAGAACACCGACGGACTGAAGTCATCTATGGAGTCGAGGCCAGGGATGAAATGCTCACCGGCACTGTTGATGACAATTGGAAGTTTCTACCTCCTGAACAACAACCCGAGCTCCGTTGTGAGTGGACAGGTGAGACAATTTTCTGGAAGAGGTCGGCCACTGCAAGCCCAGCAGCATTGACCATCCCAACAAGCAGTCAGCCTACAGGAACAGTAACTGCTGATCCCGTGCAGTGCAGCAACAACCACCACGCGGCATCACAGAAGTCCCCGAGACACCACCTGTGGGATGGATGCCACCGACCAGCCAGCAAATGGCACCGATACCTCAAGTATCACAACAACTCGGCGAACCAGAGCCGCAGCCAACACCAGCTATGTCCGTTGCCGAGACAGCGCTAGTACCGCCGCCTCTCCCTGACCCACCTGTTGTCAGCTCAGCTGCCAGCTCAGGCAGCCAACTACAACAAGCAGTACAAGACCCTGACCGTCTCGACGGCGACCGTGTTTCAGGGGCCTTACTTCGCAAGCGACATCGTCCCTGACCATCTGAAGACCACATCTCACGCCGCTTGGGAAGGAGCTCGAGGCTCAATCTTCCAGCGATGCCATCGAAGAAGACGAAGAGGTGCAAAACCCACACCATGAGATCTTCCTCACTGGCAAGGCCGCCGCTCGGACAGAGATTCGTTTGGCCGATCTCAATGCTGAAGACAGAGCCAAGTTTGAGGTTGCGATGGAAAGAGAATGGAGCCCATGGCAACGCTTCAGCGCTGTGGAGATCCTCACCGAGGAACAAGTTGCACAGCTTCCCCAAAGATGCTCAAGTCATTGGCACCCGTTGGGTACATGTTGACAAGGCCTCAAAGTCACGAGCGATGGCAATGGCCCTGCGCAAGAAGACCGGCAAGACTGTTGAACAGATTGAAAAGGAACATCCCTTCGAAGCAAAGTCCCGCATGGTCGTGCAGGTTGTCAAGAGCAAGATCCCTCGACCAAGAAGACGCCATCTGGGCCTTGGAGTACATCGTACTGGATGCCAAGCGGAGGCGCTTTCCAAACCTCCCATTGACAGAGCCCGAGAAGTCGTCCTTTCGAGCCCTCATCGGTTCGCTTGGCTGGGTCGCGCGACAGACCCGACCCGACGTCCTCGTCAATGTGTCCATGGCGGCACAACAGATGGGCAAGCCAACTGATCGGGACATCATCGACCTGAACAAGATCGTGAAGATCCTAAGGGACTCTCTCGACTTCAAGTGGCACTTCAAGCCAACGAATAGGAGCTTCGAGGAGGCCGTTGTTTTCTGCGTGGCCGACAGCAGCTTCGCCAACAATGACTCCCTGAAGAGTCAGTGCGGCTACCTCCTCGGTGTGACCTGGCCTGAAGTTGTTGATGGTTCAACCACCCTTTTGGTTTTGGAAGCATATAGTGGAAGTATCAAGAGGGTCTGTAGGAGCACCCTGGCAGCAGAATGCAATGGATTCTTGACCGGAATTGAAGCAGCTGACTACCTGCGCGCTGTGCTTCAAGAGCTCCAACAACCTGGAGTTCAGCTGCTGGTGCTGGACTGCTGCTTTGCTCGCCCGCGGCTGCTCGCCTTCACCGACGCGAAGTCGCTGGAAGCTGCTCTGAAGAAAGATGCCGGACAACCGTCCGACAAGCGTGTAAAGATCTTGCTGGCACAGATCCGCCAGATGGTGGAGGACTGTGAGAACACAGTCTTTTGGGTAGACGCTGCCCAAATGTTGGCAGATGTTTTGACAAAGTGTGGTGCTGAGAGAGAGCCGCTTTTAGAAGCTCTCACGACCTGTAGTTGGAGGATGGAAGCATCCGCTTTTGCAAAGGCCTGCAAAGAGGCCATCAGGGCCGGTAGGCGCCGGCGTAAGGCCGAAGCCAAGGGACATGGTCAGCTGAGGACGGGTGTTGATCAGCAAGGCAGCACAGGCATGGCATGAGGTGTCCAGCTTTCCATGACCCCTTGAGCAGCATGACCGCAGAGCGCTCTTTTTAGCATAGAAGAAAAGGCGCCACAGTCCCGCCACGCCGCTGTGCGGTTTTTGAGATGTTTTCTTTCGGAGTGGATGTTCGCTTTCTTTGTTTGGGCGCTGAGTCACTACTTCTCCGAGCTCACGAGCCCGGAACGTTTTTTGGGGCGCCGAGTGAGTCGCTCCTTCGATTCTGCGGCGAGTCACTTCCCGACCAAAAACCCTTTGGCCCGAAAGCGCCAGCGCATCGCTTCTTCCGCCCAGGAAGCCGATTCGTCTTCCACGCCGAAAGGGTCGCTTGGGCGACGAAGAATTACCAAGCACGAGAGGGAAGAAACGAAAGCAAACACAACTTGACGGGGTCTATAAATTTCGTAGGTGACAGTCCAAATTAGAGCTGTCTGAACACTTGCTTTGAGCTGAAGAGAAGAGACCTCTTGGCAGGGCGGTTGGGAAGGGTCATGCTGTTCATATAAGAAGTTTGGACATGTTTTGACCATGACACCTTAGTTGATGTTCACTGACCCATATTTGAGGACTTATTGGGGGTATCATTTGTTTATATTTGTTTGATGTAATCTATTTGGGACAGAGCAAGACTTTGTTGTGAAGTTGATAAGGTTGGATCCTTACCGGCAAAAGGGCGGAGCAGGTCGGCCTCTCAGTGAAGAGTCGTGAGGTCCGGCAGTGAGTGAGTCAGGTTCTTCTTCGAGGTGCTCAAAAAGGGAATCTTCTTGTCCGCTGGTCGTTTTGCACGGGATGAAAGATCGGAGGTCCCTTACGTCCAGCTCATGTTTAAGTATGTTTAAACGGCCCACTTGTGCACAGCAGTTTTGAGCTCACATTGGCCACCAAGGCTCGCTCTGCTTGAGGGCCTGATAATGTAAAGTCCACGGCCCATGCCACGTTTGAAGCTTGAGCCGAAACATCTCAGAGTTGGTTTCTGAAGGCAGACAGGAGCTTGGATTTCACAAGATATCAAGGTGCAAAACACCTGTGTAGAACACATGGGGTTGCTTCAGCATGTGGCGACAAGAGCAGGAGGGACGCATGTGCATCTGCGAGTGTGATGAATTATTGTGACTCGCAGAAATCAATGCACGCTCCCATGGTCCTTTGGATGACCATGAACACCCTACTTCGAGTGAAGCTCCTGCGTCTTTTTTTGCATTCGAATTACATTTTGCAAATCACCACACAGGTTCCAACAGGTTGGCCAGCCCATTTTGATGGCAACTGGCGGTAATGTGTGATGTGATACGTTTCAACCTCTAATCCGTTTGATCGCAGTGCACGTCTTTGTTAGGGCACCTTGACATTGACTCCTCTGCCTGATCCGGCGAATGTCGGCTTGGGGAGGTTTGCAAGAAATTCAAGGCCATGTGCTGTTCACTCCAGACCTGCCAACGATAAATCTTCCCCCCCAAACCCAGGGAGTGTGGTCATTGGTTTTGGGTGAACGGCAGATGCTCTGGCCGCGGCCAGCGTTTTGCAAATGCTTGAGGCCTACAAGGGTTGGCCCAAGCACTGCTCGAGTCTTTATCAGTCCGAGCTCAGTCTTGGTTCTTGGAAGGATTTGGAAAGAATGAGAAGTAGACAGCAAAGCTCAACAATCACAACAAAAGGGCAAGCATCCTTTGTAGTCGCAGACTGTCTATTCTTCCGCGGATCAGTAGTATTAGGCCAGGTGCGTTGTACAGATGCGGGACGGGAACAGCACCCGTACAGATGTGGATCCGGAGTGGTGTCAAGGTGAGTCGAGGAAAAACGTATGAGGAACGTTCGTCCAGGACATTCTTTGGACCGAGGTTATAAAACGTCTGAGTCTGTATCACTGAAGAAAGCGTTTGTGTTTTGGAACCTGATACATTCCTCATCATTCCTCCAATCTTTCAAGAGTTCCCCCAAACCAGTTGTTCGGAAGTCCATATCACATGCTGCAACAACCTTTCCTTGGTGTTCTTCCAGGTTGCCGGCGCCGAAGCTGCGTTAGCCACCGAAGCAGAAGCCGATCAAAAGCTGAAGGAGCCAGGGCACCAACTTCTCTCGACTTTCTGAACCATTCTTCCTTCTTATTGTAGAGGAAGATCTAAGGGGAGGGCAGGTTCTTGTCTTCCTGCCTGCCTGTTTCGCTGGTTGGGCTTGTGCGTCCTCCAGCTTTGCACCAGTCGTCCGAAACAGGAGCTCTCGTCGGTGATCAAGCGCTCACAGCAGCGGGAGTTGCCTGCAGTGGAAGGATTTGGGGTGAGTCTCAAGGCCGAAGGGGATCGGTTCCTGCACTGGGGGGGCCCTGGTGCCTGGCAAGCTGGGGATGGCGGAAAGAGTGGAAAGCCAAGAGATCATGTCTTAGAGTCATAGAGGATCATGAAAGAACAGCTTCAAATTGCTTCCAAGTAGAGGACCACATGATTACCAGTAGTAGAATGAATTTCACGAATGGGATGGAACCCGGTTCTGATTGAGTTGCAAGCTCTTGTGTGCAGGGACGACGCCTGGTGCTGAAGTCAGCAGTAAAACCGCAAGAGGCCACTTCCTGCTGGCTGGACTATGGAGTACATGAAATGAAATCAGAGGCTGAGGATGCCCTGTTTTTGTTCGCCAGACGAAATCGTTTTCCAACCTCTGTACCTTTGGCGACACCAATCCGTCTGTGATGCCCAGGCCTCTGAGCTCTCCGACAAGGCCAAGCCGCAAAAGGGGGCTGCTGCCAAGGTGCCACCAAAGCTCTTCTCTTTGAGTCAAAAGACTTGTTTGAAGCGCTTCCATTAGTCCAAACCAGCACGAGGGTTTTCAGGGACCGACTTGCATCATTTTGCACGGAACTTTACTTGAAGGGTTCCGTGTTGGATTCGCTCTATTCGAGGAGCGGAAGGCCTGGCTGCATTTGCTGCATGTGTCCTGGCCAGTGTTTGGATGCTTCCGAAACGCTTGGGTTTCTCGATGTTTTGCTGAATTATCAGCAAAGTGATTTCCGTCGTAATTCTTCCAGGGCACACGGCCCCCAAAACAATCTATACGCATTCCACATGTTACGTATTCTTTCATGGGATTCATTCAAGTGAACCATCCAGAAGTGACCTGATCACTTTTCATGTGGATTGCACGACCAAATCAAACAGGATTTGGGGTAGGAAAGTGGTCCAAGTGAACCATCCTACCCAATGTTTTGCCATCCCCCCAGCAGTGACACCGTCAAAGACAGCTTTCTTCTGCACTGAAAGCTGCCAGCTTTCTTCACTTCACCTTCTGAGGTTGGAGACATTCCGGAGTGGCAGACCCAGCTTTTGGTTCGAAAAGAAACCACCAATCAAGCTTTTCCCCAATCCATCGGGGGACAGAGGAACCGTCACAAGATCCACAAGCAAGTCGTACTCTTTTTGGTTACCCCCTGCATGCATCTGCATGCTAGAAATTGAAGTTTGTTATGTTTTGACCACTTGAAAGAGGCACTTGTCTGTCTTGTCTGGTGTTTCAACCGCTGACCTTCGGGAGTACCGAAGGTCTGCGGTTGAACGTCGTAGTGGCACACTGAGGACCTCACCCAAGTGGCAAAACCTCTCTAAGCCAATGGCTCAGCAGCGTGCTGCAGCGCGCGGCAGGTGTTTGGTGAAGAGTTGGTGGTTTAAAGTTCAAGTTTGAAAGGGGTTTGTTTCAAAGCTTCCCAGACTGGCCTGTCAGATGGCAGGCATTCTTCCCTGAGAATGATCAGGTCTTGTCTTGTACCATCCAGACACCGATCTGTTGCCTTTGACACGCCGGTCCGGATTCGAGGTCCGAGCAGCGGCAGCGAGAAGAAGGGCGGAAAGAGAGGAAGTGGTTCGGCCTCTCAGCGCCTCACTCGAACCGGACAGCCCAATCTGCAAGAGCGGTGCTTGCTTCCAAACATGTTCTTCTTCGTTCTTCTTGACTGTGTTCATCACTGTGTTCATCTGGTTTTCGGGGGTGATCGCCGACCACTCCGGGGTGAAGATCGGGCCACAAGAAGCGCCAGATCTCTTTCCGTTCTGCGAGAAACGAGAACGAGATGAACGGGAATGGACCTGGGTAGGTCGCAAATGGACCAAGTCCCAAAGATGAAACACCTAGTTTTTGGGAGCCGAGCCAGGCGGATCAACAATCCGAACTTTGCCATCCATCCTCAGCGCTTGAGCGCAGCAGGGCTCAGTGGAGAGTCGGGTCAAACTCACATGGTGTTGGTCACCCAAAGTCAAAGGAGTGCATTCCGAATCCATTACTTGAATTGGCCCCCTCCTCGTCTTGCACCTGCCGTGCCTCTCATAGATTCTATCCGCCAACTGTGACGCCTCTCATATCCTCTTTACTTATATAAACGACCGCGCGGCCTCAGCAGCAGAGACCGCGAGAGACCGCAGAGACAGCGTCAGAGACAAACCACCGACCGATTCCCCGGAGAGAGACGGTGAGAGACCGAAGGTCCGCCGGTGAGGTCCGAAACTTGCCGACCTTTGTGGATGCCAACAAGCTCCGCGAAGCGGTCTTGAAGCGAAGCCCTCAGAAACATGGACCGTCACTGACCGTCCTGGAGAAGTCCTGACAAAAGGTGTAGTGTTTTACGCCATTCTGGAGAAAGGAGCCGGACACATGACATAGCGTGGAGGCTAGAAGGACAAAGGGCTTGTTGGGCCATCTCTTTCTAGTGCCATCTGAGGGAATGGTGGGAGAGTTCTTATGTGACCAATGCGACCGATGGTTAGGGATGAATAGCGAAAAGACAACACAAACAAAACAACTACTGTACATTTACATTTTTGTTGTGAGCTTGAGTCCAAACTCATGTGCTAAAAAAGTTGGAACAACTTATTTTGATATATTTTGAGTGAGTTTTCTTTAACATTCAGACTGAGGAATTTGGTTCAAACTTCGAAGGAAGCGCACGCCTTACAGTGTTCCAATGGTACCAGTGCTCAACTTTATTGGCTGCTCATGAACATGTGTGTCACGAGTAGCAGTATGGATGTCATGGCTTCATTGTGCTTCATTGGTTCATTGAATTAGCTCGATGTTGTTTCGAAGCCCTCATGGCTATTTTGCTTTTTCTCGATAGCAACTGCCAAGGGCAAGAAACAGGATCGCCTGAAGCAGGCAAGAGAAGCAATTCTCAAGGCCGGGGCTTCCGGGAAGGGATGCGACCCGGCCGGGCTTCGCCAAGCGACCGAGTCCGTCGTCCAGCGACCTGAACTGAAGGAGGTCGACCCGCCTGGTCCGCCACTGGCGAGAAAGCACCGGTTTGCACACATCAAGTCGACCGGAAATGCTGGAAGCAGGTGTTAGAGAGAAAGGCGTTCCACAGGCGAACAAACCATCCCTGAGGCATAATGGTACTTTGGGTACTTTGGAGATCTTTTGGAGATATCTTCTGAAACGGGATTCTAGGGTTCGTTTCAACCATGGTTGGTGGATGGTTGGATTGGTTGGTGGTCGTTGTTTCCTCATGTCTTGGATCTTCCAAGAGAACACCGTGCCCACCGGTGCCCCCGTCGTTGTGGGACGGAGCGTCCTTCCATCGTGCCGCTCCCCGCGGCACACGCCCCGCGGCACCGAGGCGATCCTGGTGCGTGACTCGGAGCGGCGGAGCGAGGATGGGGAGCGACGCTCCAAAGGCGCGGGTGACGTGGTCGACGGGTCGGTTGGATGAAGCCGCCTGAAACATGGGCAAACTAGAGTGATTCATTGGTTTGGTTTTGATTTTGATTTTGTTTGTTTGGTTGGTTTGGATTTATGATGAACCGCCAATCACTCTCTGCAACCAGGACCCTCCAACAACACGAATGCTGCTTCTTTTCTCAGTCCTGTTAAAGTCCTTCAGATCCGAAAGCGAACGAAACCACCGCCTTCCTGGAGGGTGCTGATATGTGGGCGGTGTCCTTATGTAACACTTACGTGATCTTACGTGAAGCTATTTTCATCTGGGCTTGAGCCTGCTAGAGGAGATTCAGGCAGATGTCGTGTAACTCTTGGGGGTCCAAAAGCAGAAGGCACGTCGGCCATTGATTAACAAAAGTTCCTCCTGAAAGGATTGTTCATCAGTTCAAAAGTTTACTCTGTTCTATCGCGGAGGCAACACGGAGGTGGGTAACCTGAGACACCGTAAACCGCGCCTAGGACTCTCAGATGAGTAGATGCCAATATTCATTTACTCTGTTCATTCCGTACCCTGCCATACCCTGAATCAAGTCTGAAATGGATGTCGACGACCACAAGTATATGCATCGACTCCCGGGACTCGGCCCCGCTGGGGCTTGAGGAGATTTGAGTCTGGTTGGAAGGATCGAGTCAAACGTGCCGCCTATTGGAACGTGTATTGAACATCGTTTTCTGAATGTTTTCTGTACAAGTACCTAAGACCTATGCTGCCTATGCTCAACTACCCAGCGGTTCTTGTCAAAGATGAGGAACATTCATGGATTTTGATGGATTTTGCTTTGAGCAATGTCCCGTCTTGTTGTTGTCGGGCGTTTTCGTGCTGCGATCCAGGCTTTGGCTTCATTGCATTCAAGGAGAAACCATTGGCCTTCTTTCGTGTGGCCGTGCTTCATGCGGCTGTGGAAGCCAAGCACTGCCAAGCACAGGGGTTGTATGGTTTTTCGTTGGACTTCTACAGCCAATTGAAACATTGCAAGGTTGCAATAACCTGTTTGCTTCAACTCTTTGAAGAGATTTGGGTCAAGCAAAAGACACGGTGGCATCTCTTCTTGGCACGCCATCCGTGCGTACCTGGTCCATGTCGAAGCAGTCTTTCTGTTTCGTTTCGCCTTCTTCTTCTTCTTCTTCTTCTTCGTCTTTGGACATGTGGACCAATTGATTGGTTATATGTGTATTTTGATTTGAAAGTAATGTAACTATAGTAACTAGCAGGAAAAGCCAACCACATGTTTGATTTCGCAGGACCATGACTCTGCAATGAGAACCTTGGAATTCTTGAATGACAATCCGAGACTTGGCTGCCTTCTGCTGGTTTTTTGCACAGATGTTGTTTTAAAGCACTTCCACATTGGCTCCTACTTCCGCTCCACACTCATCTACTATCTACAACATGTTTTTTTTCTTGTAACTTTCCACTACTCATAACTCTCCAGTGGACTTATACTCAACTATAGGCTCACCCTTTTCGCTCCGCACCCGTCTTCCGATCTCTCCACCCGCGTCGCCCTCGTCGCCCGTCGCCCTCACCGACGGATGATCCGTCAGGACGGTCTTTGGTGGCGCTCGTCGCCCCATCGTGGAGTTCGCCGTGGAAGACAAGCGGAAGCCCGCGCCCCCCGGTGGTCCCGCCGTATCGGCGCCAACACGTGGAACGAAGCGAGCGGATATCGCGGAAGACAAGCGGAGGATGCTTCGTTGGAGTTGAGAGTTGTTTAGATCAACTGAATGATCCAAGTGGCAAGGTTGAGGATGCTGGAAGAGGAAAAGGAGTCTGAGACTGAGTTCCATGCGGTGACTAGGTGTTGGACAGATCACCTGCTTTGGGATGAACATTCCTGACGATGTACTGTATCACACTTGCGCATCGTGGTGTGTCTGAGGAAGTTTGAGAAGAAACTTGCTGAGAAGCGAGGCGGCTTCCTCAACATGGCATGGATATATAATCCTTGAACACCGCAGATGGGTACATGGTTGCAGCTGCTGGGCAGCTTCTCACTGTCCAAGGTGATAAGGGTGAAGATGATGCAGCACCAAAGAGGAAGTTCAAGAGGAAATGGACTCTGTTGTTGCGATTGAGATTGTCACGAGTGATCATGCATGAGTAGGATACGCATAGGCTGAGGTACTTCCTTGTGAGGCTGCCTCGAAGTGAATGATTGTGTTCTTTTGAATACTTACGCTTCGTCGAATACCATTTTGATCAATTTTGCAACAACATGAGCAATGGAGACACCGCAGTCGTTTCAAGAAAAGGGGAGACCTCCGGACCTCCCCCAGTCCTGCAGCATACCAACAGATGAGATCGCGGTCCCAATGCTTTGAGCTCTCTTGTGGAAGATGAGCATCTGGTGAAACCGCCCTGTTCCCGCCCCAGCCGCGCGTCACAACGCGCCGTCTGTCTCTCCGTCGGTCTTCTCCGCCGCAGGAAACGGCCAAAGCCTGCCGAATCCGAAGGGGTGGGTGCTGAAGAGAAGAGAAAGGGCCGAGGAGCCAAGCAGCGTGAGAAGCGCCGTGCCGCGGTCCCAGGTAGATACCACAGTCAACAAGCCGTGGAGGTGTTTTTTGATCGCCCAAAGTAACAGTTTCGAACGCCACTGAAGCTGTTTCGATGCTTGGAGCCACGAAGTGCAAATCCGGCCAAGCAACTTGATGTTTAATTAGGCTGCTGGTGTGATGGGGTTCTTCTCAGGCTCAGAAAGCAGCTGAGGAGCGAAACAAGGTGGGGCTGTGGGGAGCGAGACAGAGCACAGAGAAAGAGAGAGAGGGAGAGAGAGGGAGAGAGTAACAGATGGAGGGATTTGTAGGTCATGCAAAGATAGTTTTTTTCTTGGCCTGAAGCAGTTAGCAGCACTTTCAGTCGACCAAAAGGCCAGAACTCAGCACAAAGAGATGAAAGCCAAGATGAAGGACTGCTGCATGAGGGACGGTCGGAGTTCCTTTTTTTCAAGATCGCGCGGATGGGTCCAACACTTGAAAAAGCATCGATTTGCCTACTGACACAGGAGTTCAAACGAACATTGCCCTGCTGCTGTGAATTGTGTAGGGCCAGAAGCCATCGACTCTCCCATACCATAGAGATAAATTAGACAATTGGCAGTCAAAACCCGGAGCTCCGAACCGTGATAGGTTGACCCCCTGGTAGTCCATTCTGTTCTTCCCGTCGCGCCGAGCGAGACTCGACTGGTACTTCAAGCATTCTGCTCAAAGTCCTCCACACATGTGATTTCACCATTTTTGGTGGGAAAAACCCACTGTCCCTGTTTTGATCCACTGCTACTTTGTCGAAAGAGCCACTTCAATCTGACCCTTGGATGCGGTGGACGGACTGAGGAGCTTGCCGAGAGGGATCGGCATCAGCGGAAGCCGAGGCACTTTTTGATGGGAGGGGAGCTGCCCGAGGTGGATCCAGTGGGAGGTTTGGTCAGAAAGTGCTATAGAATGAGTGCACCCCTCCATGAATGGGTTGGAGCCACTGCCTCTTAAAGGTCCAATCTTCAACACGTTTGCTAGGACCCACAGGTTTCGGTTCAACATTTTGAAGTATTTTTAAGTGTAAAGAAATGGAGGTGAATGGGAAGGATACGAACAAACAAGAATTCCACAACCGATCAACAAGTAATTAAAAGGGAATTCTTGTTTGCTAGTCATAAACCGTTCCTTAAAAGATAAAATGGTGACTAGAAAGACTCACGATGGAACGGTTTATGGATGGTTCGTGAGTCGTGGTCGGGCCCATCTGTCTCTAGGAGTTAATCTGTTAGGCGAGAAGCACCATTCATTAAAATTAAAGAAATTTTTACTATAACTTACTATAAAGTATTGATATATTCATTCCATTTGACATCCTTGTAATTATGCGTCGCTGAAGAGTTCATGCTGGATCCCAAGCCAGGAAGGCCAGACCAAACCAGCTGCCTGATGCAAATCCCAAAAGCGCCAAGCTGCAGAGGACAGTCACGTGTCGTCACGCGTTGTGAAGTACCAAACCGGCAACACGTGCCATACATGTCACATCTAAGTGACACACATCGCGTGTGATAGCTGAATAATTTCTTTTGCGTTTAAGAGAAACCCAAGAGAAACGCCCTGGTTCCCAGGGTTGTCAGATCACCATGGTCTAACGGACAGCTGTCTATCGCTGTCAGTGGCCTTTCCGAGGAAAGGTGATTTGGAAGACGACTTTGAGCTGCGAGTCGCGTCCTTTGAGTGTTGTGACAGAGGTGGAAATGTGACATCGAGACGGGTGTGGGGACACAGTCTTGGCAGCTGAGACGGGTGTGGGTCAACACAAGCAAGCAAACGGAGGCATCTGGTAGGTGAGCATTTCTGCGGTTCATCCGATATGAGCCTTTTCATGTTTTCCTTTTCTGTAGTGCCCTGCTTTTGACAGCTCAGCACTTGTGCGGAGGCTCTGGAGCGCTTCCGACGAGGCACGTAACGCGGGACCCGCATGACGACTTCCGAGTCGCAGCGGTCCGGACGACCTGGTTTGCAGATGCTTCGTAAAGGAGTTTCCGACTCTTCCCAAGTCTTCCCATGTCTTTACCTGACTGAGCTTTGGGGGGGCCTTGGGTGGTGTGTTGTTTTATTTATTGATATTTTTTGTGACAAGAAAAACCACTCCACTCTCATCGTCGTTGTCACAGCTTAAAGAGAGTGGGAGAGAAGTGATGAACCTTGCTGAACTGGGATTTGTTCGGTCCACGTGAGTTGTCACCGGTCAACCGTGTGAAGCAGGTTCTTTCGATGACTTGTTGAAATGGTGCTGGTTGACCCAAATCTCTGCAAGGCGGCAAGCTGTAGTGATGTGGCTAAGACCAAATGCGAGACGGTTCGAATTGGTTTTCGTCTCCACTCTCAGCTCGACTCTGAACTCCACAAGTTGCAAGAAATGAGTACGTAGAATGAGTCTGAGCGTGCGAGAGTGCAGTGAAGATGATAATGTACCCGCCAAAAGATGGGCGACACCGGCTCCAGCAAAGCCTCCAAAGTTGTCTGAAGAAACACTTGGCTTGTTGTGCTTCAGAGGTGCTTCAGGGAGCCGGATTCTTTGCTGTTCCTTTGCAGTGACCCAAGGTCATCAGGTAGGTGGGCACAAGCAAACCTGCTTTGGTCTGCGATCTATTGTGTAGAATATGCAATGTCGACCAATAACGTTGAAGGATGTTGAAGATTGAAGCTTAAGCATGTTTAAGCTCTTGCCCTCCAGACTGACACGCCTTGTGCCCACACAAGCCGAGGGAGCACAAAAGGATTGTGTCAAGCACCGCAGTAAGCACCAAGCACCAAGCATGCCACAGGAATCCAGAGTCCAAGTGGCACTTCTGCTGCTTCAGGATATCTCTAACCTGGCTTGAGACTATGCAAAGCTGCTCGGTCAAAGCCAGAGGTTTCTGGAGGCGCCATCGAAGGGTTGATGTGTTGGTTGCCGATCTGAAGGTTGGCGACGACTCACCATTTTCACGGAATCACTGTGCATTTACTGGGCTGAAGCAGGGGCTCTTGATGGTCTACCTCAAGAAGGGAAGCAAACTTCAAGCACAGGCCTGTGCTAGCATGGTGAGCAGCTTAGAAGTTGGTGAAGAACACGAACTTGTCATCCCAATTTTGAAGAACCAAAGCCCCCAGTGTGCAGCCCCGGATCTAATTTGCATCAAACCCCATTTGCGCCATGGCACTGGCTCCCATCAATTTTTCTATGTCATTCGACTGATCAAGGCTTGGGCATTTGCCAAAACCGAGCTTGAAAGTTCGGATCAGTTCTTCGACGCCGTTTCTGGGCGGCACCGAACCGTTCGACACCGGAAAAAAGGAACATGTGTTTTCCTCTGTCGGAGCAGGCGGCCTGCGGCTCGGAGACTCGCCGACTGGGCGACTCGCTTGGAGACCTCGGCAGTTTCCCCGAGGTCTCCGGACGATGCTGGGACGATGCCGGCCCATAGGATGTGTCCAACCTGCTGCAGGCGGGGGAGGGGGTGCCGATTCCGTGCGAAGCATCGGACGTGGGAAGCAGTCAGCTCGTCTGGTTGGTTCATGGCGAAGTCTGATGTGTTAAAAAGCCGAGAGGAAGCTAGATGGGTTTTACAGTCCCCACAACCCCACGTGTCTTCTGGTGTTTTGTCCACTGGTCTTTTCCGCCCGGGCGAAGCCATGGGTGAAGCCGGCCGGTACTGCAGGCTGTCGGGACGGTGATGCACAAGAACGAGCGTTTGGTGTAGCCACTGGTTGCTCGAGGAGGAGCTGGTCACTGTGCTGAAGTTGCCGGACAAATCTGAGAGTAGATGGTCAGACCATGTCATACTATCAAGCATTCTGGAGAAGCTCTGCAGTCCGCAGAGTTTGATTCATTGAAATGTTCTTCAGAGATTCCGCAGGAGACATTGTTTGCCAATTTCCTGCGCAGGCCCGTCAAATTCTTGTACATAGAAACCATGTCAATCCCCTATTGCCCGGTGTCTTCGCCACCCAAAAGAAACAGACCAACTTTCGGAGTCGGGTTCTCTTTTCCTTTCGCCTTTCGCCACGTCTGGCGCCTTGGAGGCCTTGGCCAATAGCGCTTGAAGGCTTGCCGTTCTCGGCACCTTGGTTCGTGCTTGCTCGCTTCGGGTCGTCGCGCTTCGGGTCGCTCGGCGCCCGAGGCGTTCGAGAGCTCGGGCTGCTGCAGCGCTTGGCCGAGCCGATGATCCAAGGACGGATGATCCACTCTACGCCGCAGGCGCGGAAGCGTCGTGGAGGATCCGTGGAGGAGTAGGGAGTAGCCACAGACGTTACTGTAAACCTTATGGATCAATTTGGAGGAGTGAAGGGATGTGAAGAGTCCTCCAAGAGAGTGGGAGTAGTCCCAGACTGCGTGGAATCTTGAGATGCCTTTTTCCAGGCACTGGCCAATACTGCGCAGACTTGGGCGATCCTGGAAGTGAGGTGGGGGGTGCTCACTTCCTTGAAAAGTGGTGAGCTGCCGAGCCTCATCTTTTGACGCCAGGCAGCCGCCTCTTTTCGCTGGTGCCCAAGTTTCAAATCACAATATTTGATGGGGTAGTGGCACCACTTCTTCCCAGCCGCGAACTAGCAAAATGAGGACGCCATTGCATGGCATGCTGTAGCCCTGCTCCCAGCTTCGGTGCCACCGAAAAAAAGAAGCCTATCGAAGCACGGCGCTTCAGCGCGCCCGTTGGTCGCGACCAGGCGAAGATGCGGCAGTTCACACCACGGGACCAGGCACACTTAGTTTAGGCCAGTGGAGGGGGGAGAGTCAAAGAAAGTGACGAATCGTCCTGATATGTTTGAAGAGATGTTGAGTTGCGCCAGCAAACAAAGATGACCAAAGGGTTTTCGACATCCCAAGGATCTTTAGTCGCTGGGATGGTCCAAGCCTGTCGCTTGCACGATATTACAATCATGGAAAAGATGCTGTGCCACTTGTGGCATCCGTGTCCTTTGCTTGGCCAGCCATTTCGAGTCGTCCTGCCACAGGCTTTTGCGACTTCGAAGCTGAGGCAGTCGCTGATTCGAGGGTTACCAGTGAAATGAGCAAGTAGGTGTGTGTCAGATCATGTCAAATCCTTTTGTTCTTTCTTTCTTGTTTTGCTTTTGGGATGGTCAACCCAACTTACCCAACTTCCCAGATGTTTGCACGTCTTCTTCGGGTTACCACTCCTACGTCTCACTGACCGAGAGAGGAACTTCTACGGCTTCGGCCGCGACTCGACTGGCAGGCACGCGAGTCTCAATGATGCCATCGGAAAGGCTGCCTTGAGGGTGAGCAAGCAATATGGTCCAAAGGACGGGAATCGTTGGATCGTGGCCAATTGAGGCATAAGCTTAGGCTTCCCACGCTGAAGGTGAAGGTGAAGCTATATAACCCCACCAAGTGCCAAGAATACCTGAGGTATGCTTAGGCTTAGTCACAATATGAGACCAAGCACCAGAGCAAACATATCCAGTATACCAGCATCCATGATTGGCAGCCACAACTGTTGAGATTCTGGTGGTAGTTTTCCAGTTTTCTCTTCGAACATATGGGCCTTTTCAAGTGAGGAGATTGGAAGCTTGGTGTGGTGCTTTGCGATCACTCGAATTGTGGACACGAAGGTGTGACGTTGCGATCAGGGGCGTGACACTTGTTGTTGCGATGTTCACCACGGTTCTGCAGAATCCCAGCAGAAACGCTTCGAGAGAACCGGGGACAGGTGCTCATGGCGCTTTCAAGACAGATTTCCTCGTCCTTTGCAGCTGATTTGGGTCGCTTGGTGGCGGTTTTGGTAGCGCTTCTCACATCATGAATCAGTTTTTATGTTTTTTTTGGGAGGGTTCTTAGTTCTTGGTGTGCGAAGTCACCCATGTGGAGGTACACGTGAGCTGGGTGTTCTTGTGGATGCTTTGCCAGAACTTCGTCCTCAACTCCTGCCATCTTTGAAGGAAGTCCTGCGAAGATCTGAAACAGATTTCTATCGGGGGGGGGGGGGGAAGAGGACGCAACGAACGGAGCCTTTCGGGCATCGCTACGAAGGGAGCACGCTACGTCCTTGGGGGCTCCTGGCCTTACTACTAGGAACAAGGGCGCAGAACCAAACTTCCTCAAGTTGCAGAACCTCAAAACAGGAAGTCATACCGTCGTGAAAAAGGAATCTCCTCCAATCTAATGTAGCAATCCACTGGTGCACAGGTATTTGCTATTCTTCTACCACCAGGTACTTGTTAGCAGAGCTGTTGGGAGTGTGAAAACTGACGCTTTTTTCTTGCTCTTCGTTCGCGACGGCACGCAGGAGAGGGCTGCTGAAGGTGCCTCCGAATTGCTGAAGCCTGCGCCCAACTTGGATTGCCTCGAGACCATCACCTTCGGAGCGATCGGCAGCTGCGAGCTGTTGGGAAGCTCGAAGCTGGTCGAAAGCGCTGAGCCTCAGCTGGTGGAGAAACCGGGCTTTCTGCGTCTCTCCCACACGCATGTCCTCTGCATCATTGACTATGAGATCTACACGGACACCAAACAGCTCAGTGGAAGACTGGAACGGAGGAACAAAGGAAATGTGGGAGCGGGTGCAGCACGATCCATCACTGCCAGTGCAGTTGACCGTTCAGCTTGCGCAGAAGCTCGTGCCTTGACAGTCATGCAGAAGCTGATGTGCTCGGGGGCGCATGGCACCGTGACCATTTCCATCACTGAGCCACCATGTGTGTCATGCGTGGCTGCGCTGCTCCGATTTGGCCAACAATATCCCGGACTACGGATCAATGCCTGCATCGACGGAGCATTGTTCCGGTATGGGCAGGAGGTCGGCAGTCTTAGGTCTCTCGAAGCAGCGTTCGGAAGCAGCAAAAGCCCATGACGTCTGCAAGAATCAGCTTTTGTTTTTCAGGATGGGTGGCGTCAAGCTACATTGAATTTCACACATTTTGAGTTTGCTACCTTGGATGGTTTTGGCGCAAGTGGGCCCTTTCAAGGGCTGAGCCAAGGCATCGAATCGAATGGCTCAACCATGTGGTTTGACCCAAGTTCATAGCCAACTCAAAGTGACCCCAAAGTCAACTCCAGACACCCCTCCAGCCACCCCTGGATCCACGCTTCTTTTGGCAAAACGCCTTTGGCGGCACACTGCCCACCACGCCCATGGTGTTGCGATGAGACGGTGGCGGGCTTGAAGAGGCTGGCGAGCCTTGATGTGTCAAACATGGTCAAAAGGAAGCATTCCCAGAAACCATCGACCAGGCAGATTGGAACCAAAATTTGCTAGGTGCAAACACACTGTTGATGGCCCAGTTGATGGCCTATAGGGCCTATACTCTCCAAACTTGTGGACACATCTCACATCTCTTCTTTCCACTGCTCTTCTTTCCATTCTCGACCGACCAGCGTTGCGCGGCGCGGTCTCCCCGCGCGCGCCTGACCCCCACGTGACCCCCACGTGTGCAGTCATGGCCATCAAGCCGAAAGATGCCGAGATGGATCCAGGCGGGGAGCGAAACGGACACCGACACCGACCCGCTGATACGCCGCAAAACGCCGGGGAGAAGGGGCAAAACGGTCTTCCCATATGGCCCGTCTTCCGAGCGAGAGGGGCGTTTTCATCCATGGAAACATCAACATCATCTCCAATCTGGTTTGCTGGCGAAGCAGGTCTCTCTTGTTTGCACGCTTCAGACGCGTGCGCTTTCTGCCATGACGAGGTGAGAAGTGTGTCTTCCTGCTGAAGAAATGCGTCAAGGCTTCAGCCGGTGTTTGGTCTTCCAGGATGACATGTTTGGTCTTCACGGAATGCGCTAGAATGTCTCGTCGATGCGGATATGGGCATGTAGATGATGCACGTGTTTGCGTATGGTTTTGCGCATGTTGAAGAAGAAGAAGAAGAAGAAGAAGAAGAAGAAGACGCAAACACGATGCGCAAAGGAGTCACGATGGACCACTGGTGAAGCAAGCGCGGACCTCCCCAGTCTGGGCCGCCCGGGAGGTGAACTGAGCCTCCGAAAAAGGTGATCGAGCCCTCCACTTGGGGTTAGTGCAAGTGACACAAGTGATTATGAGATTCCCAAACCACTCAATTGAGTTTCCAAACCAGTAAGTGGTTTGCTTACTCAAGTGATACTTAAGAAATTCCCAAACATTCCCAAACCACTTACTGGATGGTATAAGAACCTGGACCACTGGACCACTGGACCACTGGACCACTGGCAGTTCGAGTCCTGGAGACCATTCGGTTGCAGGTTCTGGAGAGTTATGAGCCGAGAAAAACCACCGTGGATGCTTTCATGGAGGACGTGGTTGAATCCGCGCGGTGGTTCTGGGCAGATCCGCATACACCATGGTCAGGTCTTTCTTTCTCCCTACATGATACGAGCCATGCACGAGTGTGGAAAAACACAGGTGTGATTTGATCCATCAACCCTCAAGTGTGTGCATGTGACTGTGCTGGACCTCGGCAGGACTGTGCCTACCTAAAAGACAAGAAGATTGGAGAGCAAGAGCTCAAATTCATTCACCAAGCAGCTTGAGCCAAGCTAGAAAGCCGTGTTCGTTTGGGTTCATCCTTTTCGCAACACCTCACAAGAGGGCAGTTTGTTTTTATGGGTGAGTGTCGCGATTCTGTTCATTCTGGACGTATTAACTGCAGAGATTTGCTTTTTGTGAGCCTGTTACCTCTGGGACTGACTTGAGCAGTATGCATTTATTTGGCTTGTCTTCCTGAGGTCTTTTATGGTTGCTGTCGATATCAGAAGTTTCTGAAAATGTTTGCGGCGGCCTCAGGACAACAAAGCTTACGGGGCCCGGGGTGCTGATTCTAATGTATTTTATTAATATTTGTTATATTCTCGGTGCAAGCGAAACAGGGATTGGGACCATAAGACATGTTTCCCAGTCGTACCTCAGACAATTTCTGCTCAGTCTGCTTTCGAATTTATCGCTGAAGGAACTATAGATTGTTGCCATCACATGGCGTCCTAAGGTGACTAGCTTCATGTACAAATGTCCTGCTACAGCACTTCGGGCGGAGCAGAGTGATGCCGGCCAGTTTTATTTTTTTGGCTATGGCTCAAAACCTGTTGCACCCTAAGCAAGGCCATTGGCGAAGGGTGATAAAGACTGACACCTGCCTTACTTTTGAGCCATAGCCTTCACTTTGCCTCAAAGGGGTATAGTTGATCTGCTAGCAAGATTTGTGCCATGTCAGAGGCATTCATTAGACTTAGACTTCTAGTCAGCTTATTTGGTCCCCATGCACCAAAGCAGCTCTTCAGCTCTGATGTCTGTGATCATCCCAAGCCTCGATTTCCTTTGAAGGAATCCTCCGCTGTCAACCTCGGAATTTCGAAGGAACGCTTCGAGTTTAGAAGAAAAACTGCTTTTGATCGAAGCATTTTTTCTCCCAGCTCTCTACATTGTGATCGCCTACTTGCTCTTCTTCCGGCTGGAGGAGTTGGAGACCCGGACGCGCGAGTTCGCAACCACCGAACTCGATGCCTTGGAACAAGAGAACGAACGGGTTGGATTGCGGGCGGCTTTGGGCGAGATTTTTGTGTTTTCACTGCTTGATTTTTGGGAAAAGCAGCTTCTTTGAGAGGGAATGGATTTTGGAGATCCTTGATGCAGATTGTATTGATTTCCTTTTGCCTTGTGATGTGAACTTTGTTGAACATTAGGAACAACTATAGGGAAAGGTCGTGTTTTGAGGACTCCGAAAACACCTCGTTGCCATTTTGGCCCAGCCATCGTTTGCTTCACCTCCAGAATTCGCGGGCTCCGCGGGATCCGCCACGAGCTGCGGGTCCAAGCGTCTTTGCCTCCATGCCTCGGCAAGTCTTCTCGGACGCGTCAGGGAGTCTTTTGAAACGCTTGCGGGATGTGGATCTGGGCTTCTGGGGCCTTCGTGCGACCCTGGAACGCTTGGAACGCTCTCCCGAAACGCTTGGAAGCACCAGAGATGTGCTGGATGTGCTATCTGCGTGCCAGAGGGTTGGGGACTGGGCATTGGCCTGGAGGTTTTTCAGGCGACTTAGGCATCGATTTCCTGAAGTGATCATTTCAAACGCATATATGTCCACTTGCACGGAGCTCTCTGCGTGGCAGTGTTCCTTGAACACCTATTCCTACATGGACTGGGCATGGATTGAACGTGACGTTGTCACGTGCAACACGGCCTTGGACACCTTGGGCAAGAGACATTTCTGGCCAAAAGCGTGTGCCCTCCTCGAGTCATGGCGGTCAATGAGGTCTGCAGGTCTGCAATGCGACGTGGTGAGCTACAACAGCTTGGCTGGAAGCTGTAAGCCTTGGCAGAGGACTTTACAGGTTGCCTCGTTACTTTGCAGAGAGCACGGCTTAGAACCGGACCAGATCACCGAAACGTCCTTGAACGCAGCTTATGCTGCCGAGTCCTTGTGGCAGCGTGCGACTGCAGGGATATCCGGTCTGTCTGGCACGTCATCCGTGTCTTGGAATGTTCTGGCCAACGCTGCTGCCAAAGCACAGGCATGGGAGAAGGCGACGTTGTTGGACTCCTTGTGCCAGTTGGGGGTGGATCCAGATACGATCTCCTTCAACACGGGTATCAGCGCATTCGAGCGAAATGCGCGCTGGACCTATGCTTTGCAGTTCTTCCAAAGTCTTGGGCAGTTCAGTGTGCGAGCAAACTCAGTGACCCTCAACTCTGTGAGTAGCGCTTGTGCGAGCAGTAATGCTTGGGAGTGGACTTTGACAGACTTGAGGTACAAGAAGATTGGGAAGAGCTATGACATTTTCTCTTGCAGTGCTTGTGTTTCAGCCTGTTCTTCCTCCATGGAATGGGAGCTGGCCGTGGGTGCCATGTGCATGGCCAGAAAGTGGAATGCCTTGTCCCAGCCCTTGCTGTCAGCCGGATTGGCTGCGTATGCCGACCGCTGGGCACAGATGTTTGATCTCCTCTCTTCTTGGCGGGATGCTGGTGGTCAGGTGGCTTCAGAGTCCTTTAATGCAGCTTTCCAAGTATGCTATCAAAGCCATCAATGGCCTTCTTCCTTAATTCTCCTTTCCCAGATGCAACTCCTCCAAGTTCCTGTGGATTCCACCGGCTCGTCCTGCTTTCTTCGCCAGATGGGACACACAAGAAGCCTAGAAGCCTGGAAGTTGGGTCTTTCCTTCGAAAGATGGCGCACTCCACGCACTCCGCACAGCGAGCGCAGTCGCCTGAAGGATGATTTCTGGTCCTCCTTCTGCTGGAGCTGCGAGGCGGTGCGAGCGCCATCGCCCGGTGTGCCACAGTCGGGCCGGGTTTCAATCGGTCGTCGTGGCGAGCAAAAAAGGAGGGAAAGAGGAGGAGGGAAGTCTCGTTGCGTTTAGTAGACAAGAGCAGGCAGACCTGAATTCATCCAGGGCTTTTCCGCCTGTTCGTTTCACCACCTATTACAATATATATATATATATAATTGTGTGTTTTTGTTTTGTTTTGCATAAACACATCGATTTGATACATAGATTAAATAACACTAGTTTCATACATGGTCATGAACATATTACAGAGATTGGTCTCTTTCTCGGGGAGTGGAGGGGGAGCTTCCGGTGCACGACGGCCGTTCGACGACGACGGTTGGACCGTCGGTTCGACGACACCGAGGCTCACGGTGCCGCAGTTCCGGGAGTTCCTCTCGTGCGGCTACGGCACGCCGCCGGCGTTGCTGGCGCTGATGCAGTGGGAGGACTCAGAGCTGGAAGAGACTGGAAGATGCAGAGTTGGAAGATTTCGAGATGCAGAGTTTTGACCTGGAATAACTTGGAATGTAGGCCAAAAAGGACCAAAAGGGATAGATGGAATTCTTGTGAGCTTCTCCCGATTTCAGCAGTATGTGTTCTTCTCAAGTTGCAAAAGCAGTACACAGGATATGTTAAAGATATGTTGAAAAGAAGAGCTTCTCCTGTCTATTTCACAAACGTGGAAACACTTGGCATGATTGCTGAGGTACTCCTTAAGTGTGGAGGAGCTATTGGATGTGTGGAACAGTGTGACAGTTGTTTCTCCCAGCGTGTGTAGTCTCACCAGCTGTGCATGGACGCGTAGAGAGGCCCCAAAAATGGGCTTGGATCAACATCATAAATTTGTTTCTTTTTGTGACACATGAGATCATCATTATGAGGGGGCTGTAGGGTTTAGACCGCCAAGCATATGGCCAAGGCGGCCAATGTCTTCTCTTTGTTTTGCACTCCGGTCTTTTTTCTCAGACTCCTTTGCTTCTTCGATCTCCTGGTTTTGATCAATGAAACTGGAGAAGTTGGGCAGAACTCGCCAAACAGGAGCTTGAGAAGTGGGTGAAGGCGAGAGCCGAGCTGAACAGAACAGATACGAAAAGGACAACCATGACTTGCCTCTGTTCTTTTTCAGCAAGATCTATGACTTGCCTTTGTTCTTACAACCATCATAGATCTTTTTCTTACAATGACTTGCACAGGTGGAGTGGTGTAAGATCTATGATGTTGACTACATCGAGCAGGACCGATTGAAGCCGGCGAAGCCTCGTCCTCCACCGGAGTCGGGAGCACCAGGGAGCACCGCCACCCGGGTCGTGGCGGCACAGATGCGGCCCGGGCACCGTTTGGTGAGCAGGATGTGATCGGCAAATTGCAGAGCTTCAAAGACCAGCTGAAGTCGGTGGTGGATGAGGCCCTTCTGGCTGAAGAAAGAGAGGAATGAAAGAGAGAGAGAGAGAGAGAACGAACGCCGGAATCTGGAAGTGTTTTCAGGTCAGATGATCCCGATTTCTCGTTTGTCCTCATCGACTCATGCGTTTCTGGACAGGTGGAATACAAAGCCACCGGAACCATCAAGGCGGCTGATGGCACCTTCATGGAGAAAGCTGAGAAGAAGCGAACGGCCGGTCTGCTCAGCAACGGTCTGCTGTTGCCGGAGTGCTGTTCTTCTTGAGCCATGCTGTAGCAAAGACTGTTTGCTGGCCGAAGAGAACTTGCTTGTTTGGCCCGGGCTCTGCTTGGACACGAGAAAGTAGTAGACGCATGCAAACAATCGGAGGTGCAACAGTGCAACATGTATTGTGTGAAAACTCACCATAGCGTTCTGAAGAAAGCATTTTGGATCTTACAATGTTTGTTGTGCATGTACTTGTTCCTGGACGAGGAGTTCAAGCCCTTCAACCTCACTCAGCCTAGGCTGGATAGAGAACAGATTTGCCGCAAATCGGCAAGAACACAGTGCCCCCTGAATGGATGCAAAAGCGAGGACCCCATCTAGAATTTTGGAGATCGTGATCCCTGTTGTTTGGGCATCTTCATGGGGGTGAAACGAAACAGGGTTTTTGGACTTTGATCGAGATCTTTGTTGGTTGGGGTTTCGGAAGCGTTTCAGGTTTAGAATCCAGGGTGGTCTGGTGGACTTCTGTTCATCCAGGGTGGTCTTGGGTGGGCCCAAGAGTCGCAGCTTGGCATCTTTGAACGGTCGCGTTGGATGCCATGCTGCCAGAGAGTCGCGCGAGCTGTGCCTACCGACGCTCCCCGGTCGGAGCTCAGAATCAGTGGCGAGCTGTCAAAGCCATGCGAGCTGTGGCCGGAGCGCCGAATCAGCGCTTTCATCCTCCTACACCTGAACGTCCTCATTGTAAAAGATTTGGTACTCCAGAAGGTTGTCCCTTTGGGGACGATTGCACCCACCTACACTCGCTGGATGGTATTAACGACCTTCGCGACGAGGTGCAGAAACCGCCAAGTGCAGATGCCCCTCGTGTATTCCTTCACAAGATGGAGGATCGCAAGGTGGCTTTGGCCCCAAAGAGGAACCACCTTTTATCTCACGTTTTCTTACGTTTTCTCGTGTTCGGTTCTGTCAAAGTTGGGTTGGATGGAATTGGTTCAGGGAATCTAATGTAGACTCTTGATTATCCAGCCATTTGAATTGAACATCCTCTTCAGGACTGGGGGGGTATTATGGTCCTCAAGAGTCTACATTAGGTCAGGCTGGGAGGAGTCTTCGCCCGTGGCAGTGCTCAGGTTGGGAAAGGTTCCATCTCCTTGATCCTTCGGACGCTGGCCACGGGAGGTGTGTGGCCCACAGATCGGCCCGAGAGCGCCGATGTGCTTTTGGCCAATGCCTTTCCTTCTGCCAGCTTGCTGTAGCTCAGAATGAGAAGCAGAATTTTGGCCCACACCTTTGGATTTTCAAAAGTACTGTTCGTGTTTCGAAGGACTCGCAAAAAAAAAACAGCTTGAAACTTTTGGGATGCAAAGACTCCCTCCTTGTCTGAAGTGAGGTCTAAACTTCTCCCTGGATGCCTCGTGAACCACTTTCCCGGAGAGCACGAGCTAAGCTGTAAAGACCGCCTGGCCAGGCTGCTCCGAAAGCACTCCTTTTGTCCGGAGACCTTCATTCTGCCAGAAGACACCTCATTGGCACCATTTGCACCGGTTGTTCTTTTTGTTTCTGGACACCGAATAAAAGCTGGATGAAGAAGGTTAAACTAGGTTAAACTCTGACTTAAAGGTGATGCGAAGGTATAAAGAACGCCGATTGCAAGGGAGTGGCTTGCACAACCAAGGAAGAAAGAGACTTTGAAGCAGCCGCTTTGGCTGAGCCAGAGGCTGCATGGATTCTGAAGCCGTGTCAGTTGGGTGAAGGACGTCACATTGAGATATTGGAAGGCAAGAATGCGAGCAAGAGACCTCCTAGGCCATGTATCGCATCGCAGTATATCCACAACCCTTTGCAAGTGGAAGGACGCAAAATAGACCTTCGAGTCTACGTTTTGGTGACTCAACTACATCCAGAGATGCAGGCCTTCGTGTTCCGAGAAGGCCTCGTCCGATTTTGTGCCGGAAGCTATGACGCTGCTAGTTACCAGGAGCTTCAGGCGCACATCAGCAACAACGCAGTGCAAACAAAGACCAGCCGACATGCGAGTGGTCAGAACTGGACCCTGGACCAGCTATGGTTTCACCTCCAACAGGAAGGAACTTGTGAAGTTCAGCCTGAAACCATTTGGTGTCGCATTCTCCGCATGGTGCGCGATGTCTTAACCCTTTGGCAACCCAAGGCTCTGGCATATCGCACAAAAGCTGATGCAACTTGGCCGAGTTGACACGTTTCTGCCTTATTTCATTTTGTTCTTTCTTTTTCCCCTTGAAAGCAGGTTGGGGGACAGGACTGGCTCTTAAAACTCATCGAGTCCAACAGAGCCAAGTTTCTTTTTTCTCGCAGCTTCGCTGCAGGTACACTGCTCCGGGCTTAGTTGTGCGCCAGCGCTTCGGACGACTCACGTAGTTCGGGCCGTATTGTTCTACCACATCAAGTGGACAACCTGTAGGATGCGTTCGTGCAATTTTCCACCTTCTTGACATCCTTTCGTGGCTTCCCGTGGCTGGTGAGGTTACAGTTTGATGGCCTTCGACTTGCTCATCGACAACTCTGGAGGCGTTTGGTTGCTGGAGGTGAACTCCAAGCCCGCGCTCCACGCGCAAAGCTCCTCTTTGAAGGTCTCTTGGGCGGTGAAGGTGGAGGCTTGCGCAGGGTGAAGGTCTAATGGTTTCACGGTCAAACAGAAAGGGTCTACCATGGTGTACCCAAGTCCAGAAAGACGTAGACGGGTTAATCACCAGTAGAGGAGCCTCTTCAAAACCAGCCTACCCTGAATCCTTGGTTGGTTGGTTGCTTGCTTGCCTGCTTGCTTGCTTGGTTGGTTGGTTGGTTAAATGGGTTGGCGGACCGGTACTCGTGGCTGTGCTGAGGCCATTTTTCCCGTGCATTTCGCAGTCAAAGGAGCTTTGCTGTCAGAGCCCTAGATCTTTTGGTCCACTTGGTTTTGGAAGTCAATGTTCCTCACCTAGGGGGCGACATGTGAAAAGCCGAGCGTTGGGTTTCCAAAGCCAGCTTTTTCTTGGAAAAGAGCTCAGCGTAGAGGTTGAACCTCCCAACTCTTCGAAGCAAGCGTTGTTTTCACTTAGGGCCGACCTCTTCTCATTGCTTGGATTGCCGACGACTTCGCATGCATCCTGTAACAGCGTGAGCACGGAGCCGACGACTGCGGGAAAAGCGCCTGACCATGCCAAGAGTTCCTTTGGTTTCTATCCGTTGGAGTTCAGCGCTTCTCATGGCCTGGTGCTGTGGTTCTTTGTTTCAACGCTTTAGCAGATTTGGGTCGTGTGAGTCTTATGCGTCTTGTGGAAAAGTAAGCGGTAGTGGGGTGGTGAGACTGACCTGAATCCGGTTTCGCAATCATGGTCGTTCCCAGGTTAGCAGCCAACTGGGCATACTTCTCCAGCTTTTTGGATGAGACACGCCACATGGCTGCTGCGTGTCCAGCCTTGCGAGAAAAAGGAGCACCCTGCTTCCCTGCTTCCCTTGTGCCCCCAGGAATTCAACCATTAGAAGGCCAGAGAACCAGACCTTGACATCCACCCGACCGCAGCACGATGACATCCTGTAGCGAACGATCATGGAGCATCCCATTGGAGCTGGCACCTTCTTGTGTGACATAACAGAAACATTCCGTGCGTTGCTGTGAGTGTTTTGTTGTTTGGAGGCCTCGGCTCATCCCCGAGCCTGATGTCATTAGTCGAGAGGTCAAGGCCAGAGGGGCGTGCAATAGTGCTATTGCAGGACAGAGACGAAAGCAGTTTTCCAAGCCGAGTCCAAGCTGAGCAGCAGTTTTCAGAGCGGACGGACAGCTCCCCACCAAGACTCATTCTTGCATGTTGCCTTTTCTTTCCACCTTGATGAGGCACAGCCAGTGCCATCCTCCATCCACAAGAACAGTTTGAAAAAGGCGAGGCATCTCTCCTTGTCTCGGATGCGAAGCGAAGAACAAAGCCGTGACGGCTATGGGCGGAACATGGGCGACGACTCATGACGAATTCCGCGAGGTTTTTTCGATTGGGCGGCGCATGGGCGGCGCATGGGTTGTTTTTTTGTTTTTTGCATGACGGGTCACTAGGCCCTGACTGCCTCTGAAATGAACAATGAAAATAAATGAGGACATAGATGGACATAGTCATTGTTAGTACATCAGGCTTTGTTTCCTTCATTGTTTGATTAATTTTATGTTTACTGTCCCCTTTTTTCTGTCAATTTTCTCCAAACCGTTGGATAAAAAGAGCGACTGCAGGTGGAAGAGGAGAAGAAGAAGAAATATGAGGAGGAAAAGGCCTTCCAACCTTCTCCAAGAAGCTGCTAGGGAACCTGCTACATCACCCCATCAGCTCGAGTGCGACATTTCACCCACATGACCCCACAGAGCTTCCCCACAGAACCAGGTGCGGAACATGGGTTTCCCGCCACCCATGAGTCATGTCTGGAACATGAGTGCAGTAGGCAGATCATATTGATTACGCAGCTGATACGCCATCGGTGATTTCCACGGGTCCGGCGGTGTGAGGCAAAGGTTTTGGCCAAATACAGAGAGGATGATCACTTCAGCGCGGGTCTCAGTTTCATGGATTCATCTCATGCAGACCACTGACTGGACGAACGTGAGACTTGTGACATGCACGGATCTGGATCTGGCGTCTTGTTTCATAGATCAGACATGATCAGAGCAAAGCAAAGGACCTCGCAACCATAGGTCGGCCTTTTACTAGTGACTAGTGATTGATTTATAGAGGGGGTGATACCCACAGGTGATTAAACAGGCATCAGTCTATGGATGTATATATGGATGTCTCGCACTGACCGTCACTGATTCAGATGATTTCTTCTCGCCACGACCCACGACCCCCGGGCGCTCCCCGGAACACCGCGCCGCGCCGGGCCGTCGAAAACGGTTCAAGGCCTCGAAACGGGCGCCCGACGTGATCACGAAGTGGTGATGGAAGATCTGAAGAAGAAGGCGAAGACGTCTTGGATGCTCCAGCCTGGCATCAATCTCTGCAAATCCAAGGGAAGTTGGGCAAAAGTACCCAGCTGCTCAATTAAGCAGGAGTCGGACCCGCATAGAGGGATCTCTCTAGGGGCTGGTGCAAGTGCCAAAAGGTTTGGGGTCCTCGTTGGGTTGCACTTTGAGCGCCGTGTATGTTCACAATCAGCAACATCAACGCAGAGTCAACGCAGAATGCGCTGGTCTTGATCATTGCTCCACGATTGCAGAGAAAGGGGAGCATGAGGGAGCATGAGGGAGAGCATGAGGGAGCATGATGCAAGTTCATGAGCTCTCAATCCACTTCACAGGTCGAAGCTGAGCAGATGGCAGAGTGCACTTTCTACCCCAAGACCGCCAAGACGCTGGGCCGAAACTGACCGGTCGATGCGACGCGGGTTCTTTGACACTGCCATTCTGATTGGAACATGCTGGAAAATACTTTTCTTTCGAAACGATCAAAAGCACACAGACGGAGTGGTCAGCATGGTCAGAATGCTTTTCGCTCGCGGCCGCTGCTTTTTTTTTCGACACGAAGCGAGTCGAGCGTGTGCTTGAGGAAGTTTGTGGCGCCTGCCGGGGATGCTACGGTGAGGCCTGACATCCTGACTCTGCCTGGGAAAAAAGTGGATGGCAGAAGTAAGGAACAGTTGATTTTGGAGTCGGGAACAGGTGAAAAAGCCACGCGTGAAGCCTTTCCTCTCTCTATATCTATTTTGCAGGCACAATACGGCCTCCGTCCTGCGAGAGGACGCATTGCTCAAGCAGAAGCAGGCCAAGGCGCAGCCATTTTTGATGCAAGAGCTGTGAAACGTTTGTTGTTTAATCCCACGTGCTGCGCCAGGAGTATCAGATTTTGAAGCGTTACCAGGAGGATCTACATGACGCCTCTCAATTTTACTCCTGGCAAGAGAAGATGAAGGAACAGGCAGGGCAGTCATCACAGGATTCTTGACAAAGCTTTGACAGAACCCACTCAAGAACACTGACTTGATGGGTTGCAAAGGTTCGGATTTTGTACTATACTTATATAACAGGTACGAAAAAACATGGACCTATTCCATCGCATTCCATCCTGCTCGGTGGATTCACCCTCACACCTTTCCCGGCTTTTCTAGAAAGGCCAGGCAAAAGCTCGGGAAAAGCTCGGGCGACGATGGAGCTTCCACAGCTGCCGTTGGCAGGATCAAAGCGAAGAGGAAGCTCGAGTACGCCAACGAGCCATCGAGCAGGGGCTCCCAGAGCTGTTGAAGCCAGCATCAGATCAGTCAAACATATTCAAAACATGAGCAAGGTTTTGGGGAGGGACATGGGCAAGATTTTGGGGAGGGACATGAAGGAAAAGGAATAAGACTAAATACTGAACTACAGTAACTCACCCAAATGCCGATGTGGGTGTGTATAAAAAAAGGGAGACCTCTCAAAGACCCCCTGGAAGGGAAATAGCCAAAGCCTATTGCACCAGGGGGTCTCCCTATGAAAATACCCATGTTGCTGGGTGATCAATGATAGCGCGATCTGGAGATGGAGAATGCAGATGAACCACACATTTTGATTTGGATGCGCGAAAGCTCACTTCATCGCGTCTCTCACTTCACCCCTTGTGGCGTTTTGGGCACCGGCCTCGCGCTTGGAACGGCCGTTCTTCCGCCCGGTGGCCGCGCGTGGCAGGGAGGCGCCCGGCCTTTCGTCGTGCTGAGGATGCAGCTCTCGCGCGAGAGCGCCATGGAAGCTTACGAGTCGTCCGTCCGCCGGAAGCACATCATGGCCGAGCACCAGCGGGAGGACACGTCCGTCCGCGAGACACGATGGAGCACACATTTACTGAAAGCATCTGAAAAGAGGTGTTTGTTGGAGTTCAAAGAACATAGGAAAATCACAGAAACTTTTTACTACCGCTCTTTCTTCCCCTCGCAGTTTTCCGAGGCTGTATCCACAGTTTGAAGACTCCCAACTTTTTTTTACATGTGCTTCCTTGCGTCGTTTTCTAAAGACACCCATTGGTTACACGATTAGTTGATTAGTTATATAAAGATGCTAACGATGTCAAATTCAGATGGGACACAACTTGACCCACGTGGCACATTTGCTTGAAAACCTGCTGTGCTTGAGGAGTTGCAGCACGGTCTGCAGATGAAGGAGTCAAGCAGCCGTTCAAAACAACCATTGAGAATCTGAGCATACATATACTCTTGACATCTTGGTTGCTCTCAGTTCAAGACATTGTGTTTCTAGGGGTTGTTCAAACGGCAGTGAGTTAAAATGGGATAAGCGAAGCATAGCACTTCGATCTTGCTTTCAAGATTCAAGCTATAAGCTATGCTCGGCACAGCTTTGAGCGGAAGAGAAGACCACGGATGCAACCATTCTTCAATTCAATTCTGAGAGTCCTGGATCTTTCATCTCTTGTTCGTGCCAGGAGATAGAAAAGGAATTGGAGCTTGGCGAGAAGAAGGTGCTGGTAGATGAGACCAAAGAGGAGATGACTGGGCATGGCATGACCTGGGCTAGGTCAGTTCTTCTATATGACTCTATGACTGTATGACATGAGCTGAGGTTCTGCAAAGAAATCCACGGGGTTGCGGAGGTTCCTTGACCTTGGACTTGAGTATTGATAGTATTGATAGCTGCATCACAATGAGAGCCTTAGCTTGAACTACAGTTGGGTCCGTGACATGATTGTCTGAGGACTACAGTTCCTCCCACAAAGGAAAAACACGGATGTCTGATGTCTCTGACAGATTCGCAGCGAGGCTTTGGCATGCTACCATGAAGTTGACACGTTCGCACGCAAGAACATAGCAATCATGGTAGATGCCCATGGAGCTGGAGGTTTTCTGGCAGTTTCCATCTCCTTCTTTAAAGTTTTGATACTCCAGCGTCTGAAACAGAATTCTCCGCAGAATTCAGGCGGAAGTCTCCAAGAATCGAACACCACCATCGGAACCTCCCGTCTGCGCCATGCGCCGGCTGCCGCGGCGGGATCGGAGCCCCTCGCCGGGTCCCACCTCCTCGTGGTCCACCAAGGGGCTGCAAGCGCCCACGGGATCGGTGCCACTTGACGTGGGAAGGATGGGAAGGATGGGAAGGAACCCCCGGCAGGGTGGACAGGTGTTGCTCTAAAACGTCCGTCCATTTGTGAGGTGAACACTTTGTCGATGTGTTTTTCTTCTCACCATCTTGTTTTGGTGGGGATACCTATGAGCACCTGCAAGCTTAGTGTGCTGCTGCTGCTCCTCCTCCTACTACTCACTACTCACTACTCACTACTCCCTACTCCCTACTCACTACTACTCACTACTACGACTACTACTACTACTACTACTGCTGCTACTACTACTACTATTACTACTACTACTACTACT